GGACTGGACAGGAAAACATCCTGGAAACAACACAGATTTAAAACCAGTTGCAGTAACATTGTGCTACTTGTGATCTTCAAGCACAAAGCTGCATCCTGACACAACCCATTCTCACTCCTGACTCGTCAACATATTGACGCTTGGTCAGGTACCGTCTGCGTGCAGTTTTGGACACGTCGGGTAACCGCCTCGCATTAGTTATTAATGAGATGAGACGGAGGAGGAGTGTGTTGTCATATTTTTGAAAAGAGTAGGAAATGCACGACAACTAACCATCCCAGACCCTAAACTGAACTTCTATTAGCCCTAGACATCCTATCTCTGACCTCAGTACTTAAAATTAAACATTAACCCTGATCCCATTAACCAGAGAACCCCAACCCAAAGACCCCAATGTGGCGCAACCCAGAAAAGCCACGAGCGTCAATAACTGACACAAGGGGTTACCCGACGAGGCAAAACTGGACGCAAATGGTACCTGACCAAGCATCAATATGTGACGAGTCAGGAGTGAGAACATGTTGCCTGACACCATGTGACCGAGTCATGTCAGAGTGGGCATATAGAAACCTAATGAAAGCACAGGACAGCAGGAAAACCTTTCTACTAGCAATGTCCTGACATTTACCTCGATCCAGTCATGGTGGTCTTGGTTGTGGAGAGAGAAGGAGGGCTTGTCATTCAGTATGAATGAGATCAAATGAACAGTTCCTCTTCAATCTTTAATATAATTCAACGAAGGGCCTTTTGTTTCACCTGGTCATGCATGYCTGCACTCATCTCACCAGCTCATCTGTTGATTTAGTGGTGGTGCTGTGACTTCGTGCACACTGAATGGTTGAGTCATTTTGTAACATGACACTAGTGTAGCTCACTGGTTCACTCCTAACTGATGTGTCAAAATGAGAAAGTTTCAGTTTGAACTCTAGTCTCCCTGGAGCTTCAAGTTTTAAATTAGGAGAAWTTTTAATTTTGTACATAAGGGAGGCACTTTCATGCATGAACACTGGAGGTAAAGTCACTTTTATCCACTCTGTCATCTGATCATAAATAAGAAATAAATAAGCTTTAGATGGATATGTGCACATATTTACAAACTGAAAATCTGYRGTCATTTMGTTCCTGAYATGTTTGTTGTGCCTTGAAAAAGTRTTTATGCCCCTAAACRTTTGAAAGTAAAAGTCTTAAAAGTGTGGCATGCATTTTTACTTTGATACCTTCAACTACAACTCAGCTATCAGCTGTCTGCAGACGTCACTGTATCAGGAAACTCAGTCTACATGTGTTTAATTCCATCTCAGTACAGATCCAGGTGTTCTGAGCCTCAGAGGTTTATTACAGAATGTCAGTGATCAAACAGCATTATGAAGACCAAAGAATRCACCAAACAAACCAGAGGAAAGTTGTTGAGTAGTTTTAAGGAAGATCGGATTGAGACWTCTCACACCATTCATTCAAGGGTTGTGTATACTTTTTCAAAGCACTGTGTAATACTCGTATAATGGTGTTGTATCACACACACAGCAATGTGTTGAGAAGGACAAAGCTRCAATACCCTGAGTTAAATTGAGTCAGACAGTGAAAAYCCAGTGATCAGACAATAAATGCAGATTTTTATGGTAACTTGGGTTTTATATAGCAGCCAGGTTAATAACAGCTTATGCTACGTTCACACTGAACGTGTTTTGAGCGGCCAAAAAGCGTAAAACGCCTCTCGTTGGACGCACTATGTTCAGACCGAAGAACGCACTAGTGTTCAGACCAGAACAAGCAGCAGCAGCGGCAGCAGCGAGGTGTGGGAGGAGCGTGTCCTCGGCGGGTGAAATAAAGATAAAATAAAAGAAAATGGCTTTGATTTATTTAGTAAAAAGCAAGCGAACGTTGCGCACAGCAGATAATTCACTCACCAGATGATTTAGAGGTGATTTGTTGGGTTAGTTTAGACACTCCAGAAGCTACCAGCTCACTGACTTTTTTTTTTCTGGTCCTGAGCAGCTGACCCACATCAGTACAGATAAATACTGCCAGAAAATCCAACTGCACACGGTCGATTTCAGGTAAAGACCTCCAGTCCATCTGTTTCAGTTTTCAGTGGGAGACGCGTCGAGCGGCGAAAAGTTCAGATATTTGAACTCGGGAGGCGGCGGCGACTTCCGCAGCACCGCATGCGCGGAAAACGCTCTGCGCCCCTTCCGCCTTCCTTGCGCGCCACCCAAAACGTACGTGACGCGACGCACGACCCCTAGAGGCACGTCCTCCATAGACTTTACATGTGAATMGGCCGCTCCTGCCGTTCAAAACGCGTTCGGTGTGAACGTACCTTTAGACTCTTAAGGTGAACTTTGTAGGCCTTCAGAGACCAGAGTAATACCACAGAAGTGGTTTCCATTTGGTGCTCCCTCTAGACTGGCTCCAGCTGATGAWGTCATGCACCAGGGGTGATTTAGAGTTACCAGTTCAGCGATATTAGGTGATTCAGTACACTGACTGTGACGTCCRGTAACATCTGACTGTTTTCCAGCTTCTAGAACATCCTGGCAGGATGGTGAGGATAGTAAGGTAGGTCTTTGTGTACAACGTCTGTTTAGATCAACCTGTCTTTATCCTTTCAAGTCATTTTATTAAACTCTACAAATGCTGAACATTCATTCACTAATGAACTAATTCATACTTTGCYATCATCCGTCACCTCTTGGCCATCATTCTGGCCTCCTCCGTTTGTCTCTCCTACTGTCTSTAGAGGACAAGTTGGACGATCTTAAAGGGTGAGATTGATGGTCAGATGGCTTCAGAAGACCTGGATCCCCGCAAATCCACCTGCAGTCTGCCCACTGACACGTCTCAGCCAAGTGAGTAGCYTTTCATAACCTCTGCTAGATCCTAAATAACTAAAGAGAGTGAAAAAAGTCAATGATCTTTGCATCTGTGCAGATTTCCCCTACAATAAATCTGCATCTTTACCTGGCTATGGAAGGAACGGCATCTACAAGGTGAACTCATGAAACACTGAAGCCTGAACACAAACTGCTTCATTTATGTTGCTCCACCGTAACTGTGTGTTTGTTACCAAAAGATTCCATGAACCACTGGACAGATTTTATCAAACTTTTCAGGAAATTATTATTAAACAAGTGGTTTGTTTTGAAATCAAGCTGATTGAAGATGTTTGCCACATTTTCATGATCTTAGAAAACACAAAACCAACTATAATTGAATTAATTTTACAGACATTGTACTAATATTTTGTGTAGTTGTAACTGACAGTGGATGTCTTGAATACAACGCAATCTCGCTCAGTGAAAGGCTTTCTATATTTCARTTTTAGAGCCAGTCCAATTCAAGATGGCCAACTCAACTAATCCAAGTGAACCAACACAAATAGCTATAAGTTAGTCTAATTAGCTAATCAAACCTATTGTTAGGCGATGGCCCTCTTTTGCATGTGACTAACCTGTTTGTCCATGTGGAGGCAGTGCTTATAAGGCTGAGTTCACCTGAAACTCATCAGACTGAAGAAGTCTTTTGGAGGAGAGACCAAACGTTTCACTAAAGAACCCATCCAGAGGACCTTATTTTTTTCTTTTTGATACAAGTTAGTCAGTTTTACAAATGTTGAGCTGAAAACTGATATATGATTTTATCACAACACGTACTCTTCTCATGACATCACATGATATCAGATAAAATTGTGTGTCATTTTCAACGTCAGATGTAATTCAGGTTGTGCAATTTTGAACCTCATTCAAAACACAAAATGTGGTGGCGATATGCATTCCTTAAAGAAATGCTTGTACTTTAAACCTYAGCTTGGACAGTTACCCAACAAGAAATAGATGTTTCCCAAATGTTTTAAATTTGTAAAAATTTAAATATATTGCCATAAATGCAACAC